TTTTTTTTTCCATAATTCATGACTGTTGTATGTGTAGAAAGAACATCAAAATATGTTTGTTTATATATGAAACACTATAAATATATATAGGGGCACGTTCAAATGAAAACCGTGCATTTCCAAGAAACCATATAAACTAATTTCCACCAATAGGAAAATTCCATTTTTTTCTAATTAAATTTAATCAATAAGGGTATTTCGGTCATTTACAATATTTTCTATTAAATATAGAAATTATTAATAAATCTTAATTAAGGAAATGTAATTAAGGAAATTTTATAAATAGTAACATTTAAATATTTAATTATATTTAAATATTTAAAATTTGAACTAAATATATTGTGATGCAATTAAATTTGCCGGTGAAATTTGAAGATTGTAAGTCATAATGTAATGAATTCATAAAATCATAGTTGGACAAAAAAAATTAATACAAATGACACAAGTTTCATGAATGTGAAACTGGTTCATGTCGCAAATAAAAAATGAGTAGTGAAACATTTTCATGGTGAACCCATTGCATTGATAGTGTAGTTGATCCATTTAGTAGGTGAAGTGGAAAATGAAACGGGTGCATAATGTATCTGGTTGGTCATGAAATAATTGCATGATGAAACGGGTACATGATGAATCTGCTACAGAATCTTGAAGATTGTAATCAGCTCCAGAATCTTGAAGATTGAAAAGCTTAAAGGAATGAATTCATCAAATCAGGGGTGAAATAAGAAAATTAATGTACATGAAATAGGTTTCATGAAGGTGAAACTGGTTCATGGCGTTATTGAACATGAGTAGTGAAACGGGTGCATAATGTATTTGGTTCGTCATGAAATAATGCATGATGAAACGGGTACATGAAGAAACTGCTCAAGAATCTTGAAGATTGTAATATGCTCCAGAATCTTTATGATTGCAAAGCTTAAAGAAATGAATTCATCAAATCATCAGCGAAATAAAGAAATTAATTTACATGAAACAGGTTTCATGAAAGTGAAACTGGTTCATGGCGTAATTGAACAATGAGTAGTGAACTGGTTTGATGGTGAATCCCATTTCAGTGACATTGAAATGCAAAAGAAAACGGGTGAATAATGTATGCGGTTCGTCATGAAATAATTACATGCTGAAATGGATTCATTATGAAACGGGTGCGTCTTGGAATCATTTCATAATGAATAGGGTGCATATTTACATGGTTGTGTGAAAGACATTGAAACAATTTCAGGATAAGGAATAATAAAAAGGCTATAACATTAACAAAAAATGAATAAAGTTCATTATCAATATCATGAAATAACAAATGACGCATCAAATCATGAGTAAAATTTCATGTTTTATCATAAAATTCTATTAACGCAGTAAACAGTTAAGACAATGAAACTATTTCATGTTGTATTATAAAATTTTATGAACTCAGTAAACAATGAAAAATTTTCGTTATTTAAATGTAACGGATCCATCTACCAGTATAATGAAAATTACGAAATATGATCAATATTACGTTCATTAGTTTGTTGATGAAATTTTGAAACTAATTTCGTTCATATAATGTAATTCAAATTTTGAAACGATTCATTATATATAATTGAATATGGTGTGTTTTATTTATTTTTTTGATATATTTTATTGATGGATGTTATTTAAATGTAAAAATAATATATTGTTTTACAAAATAAAATAGTTTCATTTATAATATGATATGAAGGATATTGTTGCCTTGAATATAATGTATTTTTGTTTACCATTTTGCCCTTATTGCTGATATAAAATAAATTTTTAATATATATATATTTTTTTAATTTCCTAAAATAAAATAAACTAATCTTAACCATTGATAAAAAAAATGGATGGATGAGATTGGTTTACACAAATGGAGGCGGTTTTCATTTGAACGCTTATATATATATATATATATATATATATATATATGGGATCATGTGAGACCAGCATGTTTTCGTGAGACCCGTGAGACCAACATTTTACACTTGAAACTTCACAGCAAAATGCTGTGAAGGTGACTTTTTAAAACCTTCACAGTGTTTTTGCTGTGAAGGTTCGACTTTTTTTAAACCTTCACAGTGTTTTTGCTGTTAAGGTTACGTGTAAAAATGTGGTCTCACGGGTCTCACGAAAACAGGCTGGTCTC